CTTCATTTCCCCGCTTCATTTATGTCCTTCCTTGAGCTACTGCTTCATTCATCTTATTACTTTTCCACCACGACTTCCAGTTTGGGTTAGAAGACGAAGTGTTCACTGGTTGCCTCACAGTCCCCTTCCTCTTCAACTGTCTTTCCACCTTCATGGCTACATGCAACATATCTTCAAACTCTATATAATATTGTAACTCCACTACATTAGCGATCTTCTTATTCAACCCATTCAAGAACCTAGCCATGGTAGTTCCCGAACTTCCTCTATATTTGCCCTAATCATCAAAATCTCCATCTCCTTATGATAATCATCTACACTCTTCGACCTCTGATACAAACTCTGCAATTTTTTATGGAGTTCCCTATAGTAATGACCAGGTACAAATCTTTTTCTCATTCTCGCATTCAATTCATCCCAAGTATTTATAGGTCTCTCCCGATTTCGACGCCGTGAAGTAATAACTTGATCCCACCAAGAGATGTCGTAATCAGTGAATTCCAACCCCGCAATCTTCACCTTCTTATCGTCCGAATAGCTATGGCAATCAAAAATCAACTCCACCTTTTTCTCCCAATCTAAATATGTCTTGCTATCCTTAAATTGTGGAATCGTCACTTTTACATTACCCAAATTACCATCAGTCTCACCTCCATGATTATTTTTACCACGTCGTTCAAACCTATCGCCTCTATGCCTCCTTCGTTCCATCTCATCCCTCTCATACTCATCTTCACCCCATTCACTAGCGATCTGTAACGCCCCAAAAATTTCATCGGCTAAAACTTTGGGATGTTATCGATATCGTTTCGTAATGCGGAATCATTCATGTAAAACTTTGAAATCCTTAATTTAATTAAAGCATTCAAACATCGATTTAAACATAATGTCAATAAAATCTAAACATTTAATGGAAACAAAGAAAAAAACACAAAATGCCGTTACATATTTTATTGTCAACTGTCTTTCTTGAAAGTTTATTTCTTGGCAACCCGCACACCGCTCAGCCACCATCCACGTAGACCGATCTACCTGAAAACATTAAATTTTGAAGGAATGAGTAATTTGACTCAGTAGGATACGTGCGTCCAAAACAATACGATAATTCTTTAAACATAAATTCATAACATTTCATACCATCATTTCATCAAGAGTATTCGGAGATCAATCGAAAGCTCTAACATTTTGAGAAAACCCGAAGGAGATCCCACATTTCATTTCATTTGAGAAAACCCGAAGGAGATCCCACATTTCATTTCATCAAGACCCGTAGGTCAATTAGCATTTAATGGAATAAATCATGTAAAAGAAATCATAATATTGAAAGGACGTAAGCACTTGCACGTAGTATCCTACCTTTACCGGACTAACGAAAAATGTTGTGAGATCTTTTGAAAATACGAGTTGCACCGTCTTCGCTCAAAATTTTGAATATGAATGTGTGGTGTATGTTTTCTACCGTGTGTAAGTAGATGTATATTTTTGGGGTGGGAATTCTTTGAAAGTAATGGGGGTATTTATAGGGTCTGCACCTAACATTAAAATGTTGGTTTTAGTATGATTTAAATAAATGTGCCGTTTACCATATTAAAAAATAGCAATCAACTCAATCAAATTCCTATTTACCTATTCTATGAAATATACGTGTCGGCAAAATCACACAATTCAAAACCAATAATCCCGTACACGTGTATACCATCTATAATTCCTATATCCCAATAATCATGGTTGCCGTGTACTATGCAAATAAAGTGTCCATAATATAGTATACTATATTGATCATTCGTACCTTCTAAAGTAAGAGAAAGTTACTCAATAGTTCACGTGGGATTGGGATTGGGATTGGGAGCAAATTAAAATCAACATTAACATAATTAATTATGAATTTAGGTAATATCTTTCAACTTAATAACTTGAACCTCGTTTATTCGAATTGACTTTTTCTCAAGCCCAATACACATAATTAATTACAAGCTATCTAACGAGTACAATAGTAATATACTTATCATTACTCTATCAACATCTAGATATTTGACCCAAATAAAATATAATTTAATATATGTCACCTTAGTCCACCGAATTTCAAAATATAAAATGGAGTAGATGAAATAAAAATTTTATTTTCTAAAATTTTCGGAGTGTTACACGATCTCATGGTCATCCATCATATGGACTCGCGTACCCCCTAAGATTTACCACTGAAGCATTCAATTGTTCCATCCTTGCTCCCATATCCATCAGTAATCGTTCAAACCTATCTATCTTATCACCTTGCAATCTGGTCTAGTTTTTATTCTTGCTGGAATTTGAGCTTTCCATATCTAACATTCTCTCAATTTCTGCCTCGCCAATTTTCACTTGAAATGGCTCAATTGGCTTTTACCTTCTAATAATCCCACCTTCTGCCTTTTACCACTCATTGCTTTCACCAAATGCTTCCAAAGATAACAATAAACTCACCTGATCAAACTTGTGACTTCAAAAATTCGAATGTGCGGGTGATTGTGACTCAATAGGAGTATAGAGATTTTGGAATGACAATGGGAACGAATCAGATAGCCCTTCGGGCAACCAACCAAACCCGACACATCCAATTCCATTCCGATCAACAACTTGGAGGTCATTTCGGAATGTGGGACGACAATAGAGGTTTTAGCTTTCAGATTTTAGGTATAGGCCCATAGATAGGATGGAGGTTCATTTGATTCGCACTTGATTACAAGAAGCTCAAAAGATAAGGCCAAGGAAAGAGGCGACACAAGAATAAATTGGATGACAATGAGAAAACACCGGGAAATTTCAACTATAAATTTGACTCAAATTAGTTGATAAGAACAAATGGATGATCTGAAATTTATAGAATGTTGGTAGTAAATCAATCAAACAAACCTCAAATTTTTTTTCCTATACGAATAAACAGTATCCTACGTGAACAATTAAAAAAATTCACGGATGAACAGTAACCTTTTTTTTAACACAGGATTATACTACCAACAAGAAATTTATGGATCTAGGAAGCAGAAACGAAGAATGACTCAAGAACACGAAGAAACTATGAAAAAAATGAAAATTTACTGACCCAACAAGAAAATAAAGGATATAACCTGATAAAATTGGAGTCAAAGCTCTGATACCAACTGATGTGAACCCCGTAGCAACGGTGACTATGAAACCCACAACTAGATTGATGCGGAACCCAAGGACGCCAATTAAACCTGGTTTTGGATTTGAACCCAACAAGGTGAACCAAAAAACACAACGATACTGATGATGCTTTGAACCCCTTGATTACACAATGAAGAACCCATGATCCGATATTTGAACGTCACAAGATTTCAATCTTGATAAGTTCGATTCATTGTTCAATTGAAGAACAAGGAAAAGCAAGCCACACAATTAATTAATTTGTCAAAAGTTGTAATACAATAAAAGTTTTTGGTAATTATACCAAACCCTAAAAACTAGGTAAAAACGTGCATAATCTCACAAATAAGGTAAGAGATTGACCAAACATAAAATTCTAGCAATTATGAAAAATTCACGAAAAAATAAATTTTCTGCCAAAATTAACCATATGCGATCGCTAGGATAAGATCGCATAGGCTTATCCTATGTGATCGCATAGGCCAAGCCTTCAAGCCTCCTTTGGTTTCGGTTAATATGCATGCGACCGCATGCATGGTTACACTATGCGGTCACATAGTGGAACTTTTGGCTTCCGTCTTCAGCTGCTTGCATCAAGTTCATCCATCCCGATTCCGGTTTCAACCCCAACATGGAACTTGCTCCATTCTTCATCGCGATCGCCATATCGCCAACCGTAGTTTGAACAAGCAATGTCATCACCTCTTGCACTCGTTTTGCCCTCGATCGAGTCATCAGTCCTTCGTCAACTATCAATGGATCTTTTCCCGGACTTGTCATTGTTCCAACGGCACCTTAGATCATATCCAGCATGCAATTTTTAAAGCCTCTCCCCATAACAATTTTATTAAATCAAAGTTGATTAACATTCACCTTGTCCTCTCCAAAATGATTCTATTAATCCTTTCAGCAATTTCATTTTGCTGAGGTGGGTCATAGTTCTTACGTCAATATGTCATATTTACTAAAGTACTGATCAAATTCAGGATTGCAGAACTCAAGGCCATTGTCAGTTTCTAAAACTTTTATTTTCTTACTTGTTCGATTTTCTATTGGAGTTTTCCAATCTCGAAAAGTTATAAAAATACCTGGTTGATTTTAACAAAAGAAACCCACACATTCCTTGGAAAATCATCAATGGTAAGAAGATATTATATAGTCTGATGTTGTAGTAATAAGTGCAAATCCCCATAGGTCACTACGAATGTACTCTAATAATTCTAGTGACTTGTGCACTCCAATTAAAAAGGTAATCTATTTTGTTTTCCCAAAATATAATGTTCACAAAAAGTTAGGGCCTGTTCTCTTTAGTGTTTTCGGGCCGTTTTCTGTTTTCAGTTTTTCAAAACGGTGAAAACGCGTTCTCTTTTCCATTTTCCAAAACGAATTTTTGAAAATAGAAAAATTTTTGTACACAAAACAGAAAACGGCAAAATCATCGTTTTGGCCGTTTTCAGGCCAAAACGTTCAAAAATCAGAAAACACGCGAAACGCCTCCTTTCCTCTTCTTCTTTCCCTGTCCGTGAGAAACCATGAAAATCGCCTCCTTCTTCCTCAACAATCGACCACCACCCGCCACCTAGACCACCAGACACCACTACCATTCGATCCCCCTCACCTCCCTCTTCAACCTCTTGTCATTACCTAGCCATGGAGTTACAGAAAACAGCTCCAATCACCACCCAAAATCGCGCTACCAGTCTCGATTTTTGCAGTATTTCCACCGCCGTCGGCCACCGTTTCGATCGTGGACGACCACCACTGTACTCCTCTCAACCAGGCGCACCGACTACCACCATGGGTCACCTGCAATTTTGGCCAGAATCGAGCGAGCTTGTGAAATTGGATTCCGACTGATGAATCGAGGTGAGGTTCAATACTCTGCATATACTTCTGTAAGTTAAGATGAAATTGGAATTAGTTATTTGGGGG